GTGGTTTGTCCTTGTACCTGATGTAGTGAATCTTGCACAACTCTTTCAACTCCGTGTAATGAAGTCACAAAAGTTGTGTATCGATCGTTGGTTTATAGCTGAAGTTGATGCTTCTCTTTGCCTTAGCAGATATCATGCTTCCGTGATTCTTCGTTCTTGTCTTCTTCGGATGTGGTGTCGATACTCCTATTGTTGTCTTCCTTCCCATTTGTACTGATGTAGACATTGCACTCATCATCGAGCTTTGAAAATGGTTTGGGTTAACTGTGGATGATACTTGTGGTGTGCGCTTTCCGTTTAGTTAATTTATCTTCTTCAATGTCCCTTTCACAACCGCCAGCTCGTACTTCATTAACTTGATCTCATTACATCTCTCTCCAATCAAACGTCAATTTCTTCATTTTGCTTTTTTTCGTAACTGTCTTCTCGATTCTCGCAGGTCATATCTGCATGCCATCTGTCTTTTGTAACCATGCCCTCCAAGATGTCTTGGGAGTGCCTTCTCCAATGCCTTGTCGATCATTGCTTTAAGTTTCGATGTCATTACTTGTCTTCCTGCTTTTTACTCGTCACCTTCCGCTTTCTCATCACCATCTTTCTCCTTCATATTCACCTTCTCAGTTTGTGCTTGTTTTTTTATATCCGTTGTCAGTTGGTCGATGCTCTTCTTGATCTTCTCTACTTCACGTCTTAATGCGAAGAATTCCTCTTTGAGATCTGCTGTAAACCATGCTCTGTTTCTTGGTGACGGAAAATCGTTCCTCCTTTGTTCCCACTGGTGCCTTCCGAATCTCCTAGCCGAGCTTGATTCTTCTCTTCCTCTTCTCACCGAGGTTGATCTCGATTGCCTTCGGTGGTGACTTGGGGATCTCAATCTTTCCCATTTTACCTTCTTCCTTCCATACGTCAAATATGAAGATGAGGAGGAGGAGTGTCTGCGCCTCCTTCGTGCCGACGATGATCGTGATCGTGCCAGCCTCCGTTAAACTATTCCAAACTCCGGTTGTCGTTTCTCCAGATGTACAACACCACATAATTGTATGATTAGACGTGATACTACATGATGAAGATATATGCAGGAATATCCATTGTGCCACGTCATTCAAGTAATCTCCAATAATTTCACAATCCATCGCGACATCAGTAATTTTTTTTTTTAATAAGTGAATAAATCGACAATTTCAATAGCGAAATTAATAAATCTCCATCACTCTATATAAAAAATGGTGGTCGAAACTTTAATTTCAGATTAATACATCATCCGCTTCCTGTGTTCATGCTGCAACCACTGACCACTATATCAATACCATCAAACTCAAATACTAGAAACGTCTAGGG